TCTCTCTCTCTCTCTCTCTCTCTCTCTCTCTCTCTCTCTCTCTCTCTTCTTCCCTGCCTCCCTCCCTTCCTTTTTTCCAGGACAGGATCTCTGTGCAGCCCTGGCTGTCCTAGAATTCGCTCCTTAGATCAGGCTGTCCTCAAACTCAGAGATCTGCTTGCCACTGTATTGAGTTCCCCCCAAACACACGCACGCGCACACACACACACACACACTAGTGCAGGGGCTAAAGGCATGCGCCATTGGTACCCAGACTAAGTTTTCTTAGTCCTCACTTACTGTTTTAAAGTTACTTTCTGCCAGGCAGTGGTGGCACACGCCTTCAATCCCAGCACTTGGGAGGCAGAGGCAAGCGGATTTCTGAGTTCGAGGCCAGCCTGGTCTACAGAGTAAGTTCCAGGACAGTCAGGGCTACACAGAGAAACCCTGTCTCGAAAAAAACAAAAACAAAACAAAACAAAAAAAAAAGTTACTTTCTTTGGGTGTTGAGGAATACCTAGAGCAAGAAACTTAACATCCAGCATTCAAGAAGAGTGTCAGCAGATGCCCAGGGCTACTGTGATGGGGGATGTCAGGAGGTTCCTGGCAGGAGCAGGGCAGGGGTTACTAGGCGGAGTTCCAGAAGGGCTTTGGGGTGGGCTGGAGAAATAGTGTGCCTAAGAGCACTGGCTGCTCTTCCAGGGGACCCAGATTCTTAGCAACTACATGGAGGCTGACAACTGTTTATAACTCCAGTTCTGGTGGATTCGATGCCTTCTGACCTCCCTGTTCATCACTTGTATGTAAAAAACGTTTTCTAATAAAAAAAAAAATATCTGTGAGAGGAGAGAAAGAGTAACAGTGGGTTAAAACCTTGGGAGCCTGAGAGAGATGGTCCAGGATCAAGATGGATGCTCTGGGGACAGGGCTTGCAAGTTTTCAGATCAGCCACAGGCAGAATCCCAAACAGACCAGGTGGGGACCGATGTGTGGTGATTGGAGCTGTAGTTCAGACACTCTTAAGCCTTCTGAAGAACTCTCTCTTGGTGTTGTGTGTATGTGTGGGGGGTGGGATGGGGGAGGTGGGGGGGTTTGAGGGGTCACAGGGCCCTGGTGCTCAGGGCCATCCCGAAGATGGAAGGTTTCTAGAGCGGGAGGGGGAAGCTCTTCCTGGGGCTTTGGTGTTGATGCAATCACCTCTGCATGGGGTCAGGAACCAGGATATCCTGGCTTCCTGTCACCCAGGTGGCTCCCCATGGAATTCCTTAGATGTCACTGCCTGGGAAGTCCCCGTGACTGAAGAGACACGCCAGAAATCAGCCTGCATGGTCCAGAGGGGAGTGGGGGGAGGGAGCTCCGAAGCTGAGATGCCAGTCTAGAGGGTGCTAGCTGGTCCTGGCGTCCCGCCTCTGTCTGTAATTACCAAGCTTCCCCACGCGGGGTTCGCCCCCATTTTGTGGCTTCCAATAACTATCACGGATGAAAGGTGGCCTTCCCTGTGATTATAAAGATGACAGGTGGGTCCAGGCTCCTGCAGGGTGTGGATGGAGGAGGTGTGAAAACCAGGGCGGAGCCTCCTGGGGTCTGGGTCACTGTTAAGGAGTCGGGACTGTCGGGGCTCTGGGCTGGGGGACAGAAAAGAGGGATGTTTACTGGAAGGTTCTTTGTAAACGGGTTTGACCAGTTAGGCTCTGATAGGGATTCCTCAGGGCGCTGAGCTGGCCCCTCCCCACAGACTGGCCACCTCCTCTGCCTCCTCTGCTATAAAGCCTCTTGGGTTCTCAAGCACCTAGACTCGGAGCACCCCGCCTTGGGGGCCAGTAGACAGCCATGATGCTCAACTGGAAGCTGCTAGGCCTGCTGGTCCTTTGCCTGTGTGCAGGAGGTGAGTCGTCGTCGGAAGAGGCCAGGAGCACAGCTGGGTGACGGAGATGGTCAAAATGACCCACCCTTAGGGAGGGGACGCCCCCAGGGGGAAAGGAGTAAACGGAATGCAGACTGGAAGGGATTCTCCCCGGAGTGTCCTTACTGGGGAAGCCCAGGGGATGCAGGCAGCGGCACCTTGATTCTGAATATGTTGCTGGGTCAGTGTGGAGTCACCGGGTGTATGGAGTCACCGGGACTGGGGTCTGGGTTGAGGGCTGGGTGGGGCCAAGACCACTTCCGGTGAAGGCCACCCTGGAGGGCGGTTCCAGTGGGGCATCCCAACCAAGGTTGAGCAGAGCCATTTGGAAGCATGATCCTGTAAGTGGTCCCGATGAGCCCAGGGCTTTCACATCGTGTGAAGATGGCCTCAGTGTTTGGAAAATGTATGGAGGGGACTTTGGAGTCACTCTGAGGTCTGTTTTGGGGCTCAGGCTGTGCTAGTCTAAGTGAAGCTCAACATTTGGGTCTGAAGCTGGGTGGGAAGTGCTCTGTGACTGTATCTCTTACCTTTCTCCTTCCTCCTCTACAGGCATCTCAGGCAATGGGGACCCCTCTCCCGGACCCACAGACACCCAAGAAGAGGAGGACTCCCCACCATTGCCTCTGGGACCCCCAATCCCTGGTGATCCCTGGCCAGGGGCGCCTCCTCTGTTTGATGACCCTCCACCTCCAGACTCCAACCGTCCCTGGAGAGATCTTCCTGACAGTGGTGCCTGGCCCCCAAAGCCCCCGAGCACTGATCCCCCTAAACCCCCTCTGCCTGATGACCCCTGGCCAGCAGGAACCCAGCCCCCAGAACACCCCTGGCCTCCTGCCCCTGCGATGGACAGTGAATCTCAGGAGGAGCCAGACCTTGACCCACCCCAGGAAGAGTTTAGATAGGGGACCCCAGGGAACTTGAGCCTCCACAGAGCACACCCAAGCCCACCTTTTTCTTCGGTTGCCTCCTTAGAATCTCAATTTTCCCTAATTCCTTAGTTCCCTTCCTCAGTCTCTGGTTGGATTGTGTTCTATGTTGGAAGTATCTATGTTCTATACCCCTCCCCTCACCTTGTGGTCCATGTTCAGCCCCCACGTTGTCCTTCTGCTTCTCTTGATCAGCAGAAAGCACACTCCTACCTCACTCAGCCTGTTCTTGCTTGCCTAGACCTGGACTCCTAGGGAGAGCCTGCGCTCTTTGCTCTCTTCTGCCCCCTTGTGTCCTTAGCTGGGAACTGACAGTCTTCCAGGATGGTGCTTCCAATGGAAAAATAAAAGCTACATTTTTTCTTCTGAATCTAGGTTGCTTCTTTACCATAGCTTAGGTTTTTAAATATTCAGCTGCGTTCCTCTCAGCCCTCAGCTGACAGAGATCTAGGAATGCTCTGTGTTCCTGTCTTGCTCGTGTGCAAAGAAGAGGGCTGAGTATTTAATTTCACATCACAAGGGTATGCAGATCCATGGTCCTGTTCTTCTGGAGTCCCTGTGAAGAAAGAGAAACCTTGCGGCTCTATAATGGCCACAGCTTGTCTGCCCTAGGTGGTCTGTGTAAACCCATAGGGTGTATGAGCAGTTTGTTTCATCTTAGAGACAGGGTTTCTCTGTGACAGGATTTCTCTGTGTAGCCTTGGCTGTCTGGAACTCAATCTGTAGAGCAAGCCTGACTCAAACACACAGATCTACCTACCTCTGCCTCCGAGTTCTGGGACTAAAGGTATGTGCTACCACCACCCAGCTGGGCAGTTTGTTTTAAGGGACTCCATTCTGGGTACATTCAAGGCCCTCCTGGAACAGAGCCTCTGGCTTACACTGAGCCTAGCTAGGGTACTCTTCTTGAAGTTGTCCAGCAAAGGCTGGTAGGAAACAGCTCTTCTCAGCCGTGTGTGTGTGTGTGTGTGTGTGTGTGTGTTGATACAGGATCTTTCAATGTAGTTCTGGCTGTCCTGACACTCACTATGTAGACCAGGCAGGCCCCCAACACACAGAGATCTACCTGCCTCTGTCTCCCCAGTGCCGGGATTAAAAGAGTACATCACCATACCCAACTCTCCCCAGCCTCTAAAGATGCATTTTCAACGAAAGTTTGTTTTTCATGTCTAATTAGTATTTTTAACTTTAGTATTTGTGTCTTTTTTTAAATATTTATTTATTTATTTTATTGATGAGTACACTGTAGCTGTCTTCAGACACACCAGAAGAGGGCATCCAATCTCATTATGGATGGTTGTAAGCCACCATGTGGTTGCTGGGATTTGAACTCAGGACCTCTGTAAGAGCAGTCGGTGCTCTTAACCGCTGAGCCATCCCTCCAGCCCTAGTATTTGTGTCTTATGATAGCTGTACTATAAACTTAGCGCAGAATATTTAATACCAGTCTTAAGAGCCGGTCACGGAGATGTACATCGGTAATCCTGGCACTTGGGAAGTGGAGGCAGAGGGGTCAGCAGTTCAAGTTCATCTTCAACAGCACATCAAGTTAGATGCCATCTGGAGTATGTGAAACGTGAAACGCTGGCGCAACGTAGAAAAGGGAGTGGCTCAGTTGGTAGAGAGCCTTCCCTCGCATGCGCAAAGCCCTCGGCTCAGTCCACAGCTGTATAACAAATCTGAAGACAGTCCGAGATCCATGAGACCCTCAGATAGATACAGTAGCAGAAAAATACAAGAAAGACAAGAAAGAAATACAAAGAAGCGGCTGGAGAGATGACTCAGTGGGTAAGAGCACTCACTGCTCTTTCAAAGGTGCTGGATTCAATTCTTAGGATATATACGGTAGCCCGCAACTGTCTGGTGCCACCTTCTGGTGTGCAGGTGTGTATGCAAACAAAATACATACGTACATATATATGTGTTTGTATGTATAAACTTATTTTATATGTATATAAACTATATATATATATATATATATATATATATATATATATATATATATATATATAAAACTTTAAAAAATTTTAAAAAATACAATGAAAATAGACTGGTGCCTGCCCGAATCCAAACTACATCGAGAGATCCTGTATCAAAACCACAAACACAAAAGACAGTAGCTGAATCCCATTCCTCTGACAGCTGATGGGAACAGATGCCGAGACCCATAGCCAAATGTTAGGTGGAGAAAGAAACCCAATTGGGGAATCTCCACTAGGTCCCTCCCCTCAGAGCTCAGGGAATCCTGCAAAAGAGGGGGAGGGAGAATCATAGGAGCCAGAGGGAACAAGAGAACATGGCCCACAGGATCAACTACACAGGGCTCATAGGGGCTCACAGGGACTGAAGCAGCAATCATGGAGCCTGCGGAAGTCTGCATACATGTTGTGGTTGTTTAGCTTAGTGTTTTTGTGGGACTCCTAACAGTGAGAGCAGGTCTGTCTCACACTTACTCCTGCTCCTGGGACCATTTCCCTCCTACTGGGTTGCCTTGCTCAGCCTTTATATGAGGGTTTGTTTCTAGTTTTATTGTGTCTTGCTATGCAGTGTTTGGTTCATATCCCTGAGAGGCCTGTTCTTTTCCTGAAGGAAATCAGATCAGTGGATCTGGAGGCTGGGAGAAGTGGAGGGAAAGGAAACTGTATTATATGAGAGAACTGAGAAAAAAATAAATACGAGCTGGAGAGATGGCTCAGTGGTTAGGAGCACTGACTGCTCCTCCTAGAGGTCCTGAGTTCAATTCCCAGCAACCACACGGTGACTCACAACCACCTGTAATTGGATCTTCTGGAGTGTCTGAAGACAGCTACAGTATACTCATGTGTAATAAATAATTCCTTTAAAAGAAAAAAGAAAAGAAAGAGAAAACAAAAAAAGAAATACAGTGAAAAATCTATTTCACTAGGATGAAATTGAAAGGACTGGAAAGGAGGTAAACTAAGGAGAAAAGGAAGCAGGTAATTCCATACTGGCTTGCAGGCAGGGCTGGAAGGATGGCTCAGTGATTAAGAGCACCCGTTTGCAGAGGATCGGGATCCATTCCCAGCACCTACATGATGGTGGCTCACAACTGCCTGTAAATCTAGATCCAGGGGTTCTGATGCCCTCTTCTATTCTCCATGGGCAATGTATGCATTTGGCACACACATGCATACAGGCAAAACACTCATTTTTTTTTTTTGGCAAAACACTCATACATATACAAATAAAAATTTGAGAGGTTTGCACGCATTTCTTTACAGATAGAAATGAAAGTCTCGGATTTATATCATATCTTCGGTCTGTAAAAGGGTTCTGTGACTTTTTGTTGTTGTTTTGTTTTGAGACAGAGTCTCTGTCCTATTATGTAGCCTTGGCTGTCCTGGAACTTGGTAAATAGACCGGGCTGCTTTCAAATTTACATAGATCTATCTGCCTGCCTCTGCCTCCCAAGTACTGAGATTAAAGAAAGTGTGAGCCACTACACCTGGCTCTTTTTTTTTTTTTTTTTTTTTTTGAGATAGAGTCTTACTATGTGGCCCAGGCTACCCTCCAATTAGAAATCTGTCTGTGTGCTGGGTAGTTTATGTCAGCTTGACTCAGGGTAGACTTGTCTGAAAGGAGGGGACAACATTGGAGAAAATGTCTCCATGAGATCCAGCTGTAGGCATTTTCTCAATTAGTGATTGATGGGGAGGGCCCCTCCCACTGCAGGTGATGCCATCCCTGGACTGGTGATCTTGGGTTCTATAAGAAAGCAGGCTGAGCAAGCCATGATGAGCAATCCAGTAAGCAGCACCCCTTCATGGTCTCTGCATCAGCTCCTGTCTCTAGGTTCCTGCCCTGTTTGAGTTCCCATCTTGACTTCCTTCAATGATAGATTATGATGTGGAACCAGTAAGCTGTATAAATCCTTTCCTCCCCAACTTGCTTTTGGTCATGGTATTTCATCTTAGCAATAGAAACCCTGACAAGGATAGCCTGCTTCAGCCTCCCGAGTGTTGGGGTTACAGGTTCCTCAAGTTTGTTCTGGGAGCAGTGAAGTTCAAACAGCAGGAGTCCATACAATCCTTTGATCTGGCTTCAGTCCAGTAGCTGACCAGGGTTTGGAGTTGAAGAGAATCTAAAAGAAGTTGAAGCTCGTGGCATTAAAATTTAAGTTTTACACCTCTAAACAGAGTGTAGTGACTCACATCTATAATTCCAACACATGGGAGGCTGAGGCAAGAGGATCAAGGGTTAATTCAAGACTAGATCTGGGGGGGAGTGGGGGGGGAAAGAGAGAGAGAGAGAGAGAGAGAGAGAGAGAGAGAGGAAAGAAAAAGAATAAAGTTTCAATTAAGTGTTTTGGTTATGTCAACTTGATACAAGCTATCAAACGACTCCAACAGAGTATCCTGTAGGCAGAGTCTGTGGGACGTTTTCTTAATTATCGCTCGATGTGGAAAGGTTCAGTCCACTGTGATCTTTGCCACTACCTGACAAGCTGTTTTGGGTTGAGTAAGAAAGCAAGCTGAGCCGGGGTTGGGGTATGAGAGGATTGGAGGGGTGTGTGTGTGGCGCACGCCTTTAATCTCAGCACTCGGGAGGCAGAGGCAGGTGGATCTCTTTGTTTTAGGCAAACCTGTTCTACAGAGTGAGTTCCAGGACCGCCAGGGCTACTCAGAGCAACCGTCGAGAAGCAAAATGCAAACAAACAAAGATTAAAAACCTGACTCCACAGGCCGGAACTTGAAGCCGTGAGAGACGGGATTTGCATTCCCATGTTAAGTAACCCACAGTGAGTAAGGGTGCCTACGACTAAATAGCTATGTAAGCTCCGCTCCGGGAACGCCTGAGTTCAGAGGAGTCACAGGGAGGTGAATAAGGATAGTCACAGCAGGAAGCTATCGTGGGACCTGGAGCAAGGGCGGGCTAGACTAGGAGGGTCCCCAGAGCACAACCCAGAGCCTCAGGCATGCAAAATGAGGCAAAGAAGCTCTGTGTCCTCACCTGACATCGGTTGTTGTCCTGGCAGGGCCCAGGAGTCACCGTCTTGGAGAGAGATAGAAGCAGGCCCTGGGAGAAGACAGTGACTCATGAAGGTCCTGCAGGAGACGGGAACTCTGACTGATTCTGAACCAACTCTAATTTTAACATTTTACATTTGCTCGTCCCTACCCATTTGGGAGCACCTCACATACAACTCAGTCCCTGAGCTGTCCTGCACCCTTATTGCATGCGTGGTTTTTTTTCTTAAGATTTATGTATTTTTATGTGTATGAATGTATGAATACTTGTCTGCAAGTATGTATATGCTGTTAGCATTTCTTCTAGGCTCCGCCCAACGGTTACCTAGCAACAGCCAGGTAGGCACCTGGATGCTGTAAAAGGACGTTTTGGTCCTCTCTC